ATTGCTTTAAATGAGTGTATCTAGGTATAAATATTGTCTATGTATTTTCATTATACAGTAAACTATAATTCAATTGAAATCACATTAAGAAACACTAGATTTTGCTTTAAAATTCGTTTCATAGATGTGTTTCAAATGCTGTTTTGAATTGTTTGCGACCCAGGTACAAATGGACTATGTCGAGGTATTTTTGTGGTCCTTAACGATAAGTTAACTGAATCTTCACTTTCTTCTCATAATTCCCAATAATGAACAGGGTTAAATGACAAATCTGACAAATTTTTTATTTTTATTGAAAATAGTTGGCATACGTTAAGACACCTGATACAAAGCAATTTATTTAATTGGTAATATACAGTATTATACCATATTAATTACGAAACAAAGTTTATAAAAGTTTAATATAAGCACTTTTTAATATTTACACAATACCTACATTTAATACAATTTATAACTAAACTATTGAAATAAACCGATAATAAAGAGATAATTGGCGACAGATATGAGGATTAGTTGTGAGAACTCATAGGAATTCATAGGAAATAAGTCGAGACAATAGAAACCAATGACAGGACCCGACAGTCGGCTAATCATTGACTCGATTCTCAATCTCTGTCTATAAGTCAGTGAACGAGTCATTAGTATTGAGTACAACAATGGATAGCATTTATGAGCGCTTTTCGATATCATTGCCAGCAATGAACTCATAAAGAAAAGTAATAAAAACAATAAAATAGAGCCACCCAGTGCCCATAATTTAAACAATAGTTTTGACTCCTGATTTTGGTATGAATATAAAAATAACAGACAGCCAGGTAATGCCATATAATATATAATAAATATCAATTTCGAGAAAAACTGATTCAAAGTACGAGTGGTTCGTGTGATAGCGTTGTGTTCAACAATGGCTCGCATTAGCCGTCCGTTAAGTCCATGTTTCGCATAAAACTCTATCCGACTATTGCTGTCAATTCCTATGAGTTCTCACAACTCATCCTCATCTCTGTCTCCAATTATCTCTTTATTGTCGATTTGTTTTAATAATTTAGTATTATATGTAGATATTGTGTAAATATATTAAACAGTGTCAGCTTACTTTAAAGTAAACTCCAGTTATTATTTTAATATCTGTTAACTATCTGTAATTAAAAATCAATCTGATCACTGGATCTGTTTGTAGTGACTTTTGGTAGACATTCATCGTATGGGTGTATGAGTTGATGCAAACTTTGGCAAGTTTTACAGTTTAATGCGGACAAATATGCTATGAATTAAGTTTATTTTTTAAATTTGACAAGATGCAAACAAAATTCTAATTTTATTGTACACAATGTTAACACAATTGATCAATACTGTATAGATGGGAGTGGTACATTTGCCCGAAATACATTTGCCCGAAATACGTTTGCCCGAAAATATTTGCCCGAAATACAATTGCCCGAATTTCATTTGCCTGAAAATAAAACGTAAGTATTAATAAAACAGTATATTTGTATCAATAACTCAATACATAAGAATTAATAAAATAGTATATTCTATAAATAAGACAATACATAAGCATTAATAGAACAATACATAAGTATCATTAAAATATAATATAAGCATTTATAAAACAATACATAAGTATTTATAAAACAATACATAAGCATTATTAAAACATAAGATAAGTATTTATAAAACAATACAATTGTATTTTGTTCTATTAATGTTTGTTTTGTTTTATTGATATATAAACTGTGATCAGTTATAAACAAACTATTTCTTTCCTTAATTAAAAATACTAAATATTAATCAATTTTAACAAAAAATATACCAAAAT